GCGCTGATTGGTTAAAAATCGTGTTTCTATTAAACAATTAGATTATTCGCTCTCGATTTCTATCGCGTGATAGCTGACTCGGGGTGCGCCCTCGTAAACCATCACGCGATAGACATCGAGAGCGAATAACCTAATTGTTTTAGTATAAATCTAGAAGTCGTTCAAAACTTAATCTAAATCCTCTTCACAGACACTCACGGCAAGAAGCGGCCGTCATTTAGTTAACAAGGGCACACTGCTACGCTACTCACTATCTATTACAGAGTAGATAGTGAGTAGCGTAGCCAATCAGAGAACGCCAGTCGTGATAGAACGCTAGTAGATTTATACTAAAACTCGATAGAAACACAGTACTAGCACGAGCTGTTGACGTAATGATGGCGCGAGCAAAGAGAATTTACATTTTGATAATTTTGTAATTTTAAAGCGTTCCGCTACAAAAAGGTCAATGATAGAAGGGCCCGACCTTTACTTAAGTTTTCCTGTCTTCTTAAAAAGGAAGAGTAGTCCATTATCAACTATATATTCCATAACAAAAATCGGTATTTTGCTGATGTATTGTTCTTAAAGGTAGGAATAGTTGAAACACTAAACTGCAATTCCACGAAACGTTTCATTTCTTACCCGGGCAAGGTTTCCTGTTGCACACTTGTCTTTCCAACCCACTTCCAGGGCAAGATTTCCCACCATAACGAGGACGCGGTCGCGTACAGCTTCGAGAACGTTGTCGTGAACCAGATCCACAAGTTTTCGTGCATGAAGTCCACCCACTCCAACTTGACCAACCACCGTCAACTGTAAATTAAAATACGAGATGAAAATTAGTTTTCGGCGACGAGGAAACTGAGTAGCTAGCTCCAGGGTAAGATCTTCCGCCATGTTTAGGAGCAGGATTTGTGCAAGTACAAGTAAGAATTTCTACTCCATCGCTTCAAATAACGCTTCATGGTTTTACCACAGACCAGCTTGACTAACCAGCGGGTGGGAGTAAACGAAAGTACACGATAATCGACTCTCGCTTTAAACTTTCTTAACTTCGTGTCACATAAGATTTACAATCGCATTTCTCCGAAAGCACAAGACATATAATAAGGTTAGGTTTTCAACCATATTGAGCTCTTTTCACGTGACAGGAAAATTGTGTTTTTTTTCCTTACCCGGACATGAGTGCGTGTTACACACGCGTTGTTCATTGGCCGCTCCTGGACAAGATTTCCCGCCATTTCGAGGTCGTGGATTCGTGCAGCTCCGTGATCTTCCTTGTATCCCAACATCGCACGACTTGCTGCAGCTTGACCAAACACCCCAACCTGACCAGCCGCCGTGAACTACAGAGTGAAAGAGCAATGAGTAACGACAAACAAGTGGAGGCACTTGTTTGCTTGTCTGTCTGTCTGTCTGTCTGTCTTTCTGTTACGTTTCACGGCAAAGTTGCCACCCCATTCTCGATTAGCAGATCACTGATCATGATTATGTCAAGAACGAGAGTCGCCGACACATGTAGTTCAATGACAAAACTTGCAAGGGAGATTTGTTCAATTAGTAGCGAGCGTGCGCCAAACGAGATAAAACACTCAACAGCAGCTCACAGCTTTTCCGATCGAGGTGGAATAAAAAACAAAAACCTGCGCATGGAAAGTAGGAAAGGACCCAGGGCTGTGCAGGCGTTAGAAGATGTTACACTACATTTTTCACCTCTTACCAGGGCACGCCTGCTTGTTGCACGTTTGTGTTTGCCGCGCTGCTCCTATGCATGATCTCCCGCCATAACGTGGAGGGGGACTGGTACAGGTTCGAGAACGTTCTTGAGAACCGGTTCCACAGGACTGAGTGCATGTTGTCCATCCACTCCAACTTGACCAACCACCGTGTACTGTATTGTAACAAAAGTAAACAGAAATAAGCTGAAAGGACATGTAAGGGAGGGTCTGGAAGAAGCTAGTTTGTTGGAAAGATGACGGGAGGATATAACTAGCATGGAAAATTGAATAATCATCTGCATGTATAAAATAAAACGAGCGGGCAATGTGTTGCCAAACAGAGTAGGGCAGGTTGTCAGAAGGGAAGAGCAAAGAGAGGCTGGGAAACTTCACAATTACTTCACAATTACTTCACAATGTCCACGAAGGCATTCTTGCGACGGAGCCGAACATGAACTGTTACGAAGAAAGTTACACCAAGGTCAGAGTGAAACTGGATACTACAGTGTCAAATAGGGCGAGATTTACAATAGAAGACACCTTTATATGTAGATTAAAGTTGACCCAGTGACATCGCGGAAGCCGAAAAGCAAAAAAAGTCACACAACGATTTGTAGATTAATACGATTATGCTTTACAGCACAAAAAAGAAATTCTTCGGACACTTCCTAACAACGTCGATGTGCTCAGTATGACACATATAAATTAAAGATTGAAGATTACACTTTGCTGTCGCATTGTGCCTGCCATATCAGTACTTATCAAACAGTAATAAACAACACCCTCTCCCAACACAGGGCCATCAAGCTGCTCTGTGAAAATGAACAACTCAAGTTGGCACAATTGTGAGCTGCCGAACACTCGCATTTCGTGAGCAATTTTTCCAGGCCTGATTCATTGTTTACTTAGTGGACACGGGCCCACTGAGGGACAGCCGAAAGGAGAACACCAAATTTCGGAGACTTACCAAAAGTCCTACACGAATGCGTTTGAAATCCTATGTCACATCGACAGTTGTTCACGTCATCCTCCTCTACGCGATAACGTGTCTTTTTTCCAAAAAAACAACCGCTCCAACTGCCCCAACTTTTCCAAACACAGTAGTAAGTCATGTAATCCTGATCAGTGTCCCAGCGCCGATCTTCATTCCATGGATCGGGATCGTTTCCAGCTGCTATTTGAGAGTCGCGGTCACATATAGGAGCAATCGTCTCCGTGAAAAACAACACGAAGAATACGGCGGATTTTAAGACCGTTTCCATGCTT